CAAAATTTCTCTACCAAATGACATTAATACTCATTATCGACTTAAAAATATTCGACATAAATATGTTTTATATAAGCCAAAATCTCTCTAGCAAATTTTACGGCAATCGGTCCATAATTGACCCTACCCCCACATATGGTCACCTTCAAAAATTGATTTTAACGCTCATTACTGACTTAAAAATACGAGTATAGCGGAGAAATTCGAATTTAATTCGGATTTGTCGGTAGCGTACCCTACCCCCTATTAAGGTCCCCTTAAAAATATGAGTACAGCGATGAAAATTGACAAAAAATAAGTTTTATATAATTTTTTTACACAATTGAACCTATCCCTCATATATAAAGCCTCCATGATTACTTCATCGTTGTACTCGCAATAAAAAGATTTTTATTATAATTCTTTATGCCGAATTTTATGACGATTGGTCTATAACTGACCAACAAAACAAAATCTATGTACAAAATTTTATGGGTATCGATATATAATTGTCCCAACCCCATATAAGTTCCCCTTTAGATAATAACTTTTACGCTTATGACTGAATTAAAAATTCGAGAACAGCAATGAAATTCGAAACGAATAAGTGTTATACGAAATCTTTCTACCAAATTTTACGACAAACAGTTCATAATTGACACTACCTCTGATATATGTTCATGGTTAAAAAATTGGACAAAAATATTTTGTTTTTAAAAATTAATATTTTGTTAATTTGAAGATCACGTACATAATTGAATTAAGCCTTATCTCCCTGATGTTTACAGAGGAGCATTCCTTTTACGGCATAAGATTTGATGGTGGGTATATAAGATTCGGCACAGCCGAATATAACACTCTTGTTAAAATATTTTAAAATATTTGTGAATTTCAGGAGGTAATTGATTTAATTAATATTAAACATTTTCTCTATAATGTTAAGAAAACTGAGGGATCATTCTTTGATCTTTCTATTTGTACCACTTTTTGTTGTTTATTAGAATACGATCAGTTTACACTAAGGACTAAATTTTTCTTAAAAACTGTTTTAAATTTTTTTACACGGGTGCTCCAAAGTTTTTTTTTTATTTGTGTTAAGTTTTAAAAGCAAATATTCTTCAAAAACAAAAAACAAAATATTCAAAATACTTTACAATAAGTTATGTTATTCACTATCAGTGAAATTAACAATTTTTCCAGAACTCAAAAAACTTAAAAATAATATATATAGATTTTGCAAAAAAAATATATTTCATAAGTTTTGTACAATTTTACAATTTGGGTGTGGGTACATCGGTTGGCCAGTTGGGAGTGTGCCTGTCAGTTTGAATGTTTAATGACATTTTACTATTTTTTAAATAACTTTTAAAATTCTCATCTTATTTATCTAATATTCGTCAAACATTAGTTTTAGTTCTTACGTTACTAAAAATCTAACTCACACAGATGAAAGACTTTAGTATGACACATGTTTTGTTTTGCCCAATGTTCTAAAAAACGAATTTTGGAGTCTTGTAGGAAATGAGCGAAATAATGTGCAATTTTTATTAAAATAAACAATATTTGACTAAAAAAACGTTAGTGCTTTTTTACCCATTTTCAGTTAGAAAATTACGCTTTTTTACCCCTTTTTAATTTTTTTGCGCGCGTTTTGCTTGACCAATGTTGGCAACACTGAAAACAATATGAAATTTATATATTTATGTCGGGACGGCGCGAACGCCATTCCCGGCTATCAAAAATTACACGCACGAGTTATTCGCATTAGGAATAATCGCGGAGGTCAACTCAGCCGAAAGTGCAATGGCCAAGCCTCACTCCGGGGGAACCGCCTTCATGATCACGGTAACCCCTACGCCAGGTAAGTATGCTTTCTTCGGCACAAACTAAAACTCTTATACAAAAACTAACATTAACAAAATGAGAATTATAAAGAATATATTACATTTTTATATAGCAATAAAGCATTCAGCATACAATTATAAATAATAAGGGTGGTTGCCATTCGCCGGAAAATAAAGAAAACTGGGGTTGTTATAAATAGAAAATGTGTAGTAAAGTTTTTTAAGTAATATTAAGTATTTACAATATATGAAATTGTGTTTTTATTTAAAATTTTTATAAAAAAACAACTTAATTTTTAATATTAATTAGTAATTTTATTAAAAAAATTAAAAATTTTTGTTTTAAATAAAATATAAAAAAGTGGAGATTTTCATAAATCTCTAGGGTTATTTTTATTCTATTGAATGGAATACCTTGCAATGGTGGTTGTTTTTGTTTTGTTTTTTTTTTTTTCAATGCCAGGGATGGAAAATACTATAGTATAGTAACTTTTAGCAACTATATACCAGAATTTACCTAAACAAAGCGACATTTTACGGCAATGTCGCTTTTTTGATTGAATTGAATTTGAAAACCTAATTCGGTATAGCGAACTTAATTCGGTATATCGAGGGACTATATTCAATAGTCGCTATCTCTCATTTTTATGAAAATGAGATTTTGATGGCAAAATATTCAGCAAACTATCGCGCATCAGTGATATAAATTTCAAAGAAAAAAAATATTTTTTGGCAATTTTATAGCATTTTTTAAATTTCTCTATCTTAAAAAAAGAAAAATTCTGAATGCAAAACTCTCTATCTTATCCAAAAATTGCTTTAAACTCGATCCCTTTGGATAATTTTCTGTTGCAAAACAAGTCTTCTTAATAATTTGGACATGCTGAACACAAATCCGTCAAAATATTTAAAATCGGTCTAATAGTTTTTGAGATATCGCTCATTATGATACTAATTAAATCAATTTTATTGTCGTGTTTAACCATATAACATTGATTTTGGACCAAAACATTATAATCTGTTGCTTTTTCAACAATTTGGTTTCTTTTCCTCCATTAAATTGTATAAAATATAATATTTATTGATTTTAATTCAAATAAAAATTTTATGTTTCCATGAAAAACTCTCTATCTGTTGGTTGAATGAACATTTTCGTAGAAAAATAAGCTCTATCTGATATAAATTTGTGAATAATTTTGTAAATAATGCAAAAATTAAAATTCTTTTTATATAATGGTTTAGAATATGGTCGTAAAAATATATTGTAAAAGAAAAAATTAAAAAATTTTCACGAACTAGCGAAATAAACAGTTTTTTTGCTCTCCTGAAAACTTGTATTATTTTAGATAGAGACTATTGAATATAGTCCCTCGATATATTTACCATCGAAATAATGTTGCATCTTCTTAAGAGTTTAGTTGAGCATTTAAAAACTTAAATTTTCCATGTCCGAGCAATTTCCATGTCTATGATACAACACACCAGGGATGTCAAATGGAACTCCATACATAACTCATTTTTTTGGAAAGTGCAGCACTTTTAGTCAAACAATAGACTACTATATAGACTAGACAATGGACTAATCTATAGACTAGACACTACTCTAAAGACTAGGTAATAGACTAGACTGTAGAATTATCTGTATACAAAGACTAATTCATAGACTAGTCCCAAGTTAATAGACTGTAACATAGACTGATTTAAATGTCTATTAAAAATTGCACTCAAAAGACCTTTAAATTATATAAAACTTAAGTGATCGGATAAAGAAGTAATCCTAAATAATAAATTTGAAATTGTACAAAATGGGTCATTAGTGTATTATTACACTTTTAAATGAATTTTTACTGAATTACATATATCAAAAATAGTACAATTGTAAAAATTTTGCCAACCCTGCTTTACACAGCGATAGGAACTGAGAAGAAATTCGTAAATCTGTAATCTATTAACAAGAGTATTTTAAACAGTTTACTGAAATAGACTTCTAGACTAAAATGCTCCCCGTTGCCTATTGCAGTTTGTTGGAATAGTAGAGTAGTTTACAACTTCGTATTTAATATACCCTGTACATCCATAGTTTTATCCTAAAACGGATTATTAATTGTTTTCGGATTTAAAGATTTTTTGCTGAAATTTCTTTAATCCGATTTTAAATTTTTTAATTGCAGTTGAACGATAATCTCTTCTCCTTTTAAAAAGTTTACATACTTGTCTAGTCTATAATGCAAGCTATAGTGTGGGCTAAAGACTATAACCCAGTATAATCCGGTAACTGGTGCATACTATAGCCTAGTACTAGAACTATATGCTATAGTCCTATCTATTGTTCGGAGTATAGTCCTATGTATAGTTCAGACCATAGTCCAGTCAAATCTAAAATATATTCCAGACTTTAGGCTGGACCATAGAACCTAGTTCCATACATTAGTATATAACTCAAAAGAGAATAGAGTCCAGTCTATAGTTCACAATATAGTCATTTCCATAGTCCAAACTAAAATCTAGACTATAGTTCACTTTATAGGCCAGACTATCCACAGGCTAAAATATAGTCTAGTCTTTAGTTCAAACTTCGATCTGTAGTTCAGACTACAATCTAGTCTAGACTCTTGTCTAAGATCCAGTGTAATCTATAGCTCAGACTATAGTTTGGACCAAATAATACAGTCTTTATATAATTCAGACTAAAGTCATTTCAATAGCCCAAACTTAGTCTACATATTATATATGCCTGACTATATTCTAGCCTGTAGTCTAGATTTTGGCTTGTAGTTCATAGTTCAGCCTATATAATTTATAGGTCAGACTAGAGTTTCGTCCAGTCTACAGTCAAAACTCTGGACTAGTCTATATAGTCGAGATTCACTTCTGTTCTATAGTCTAGGTTTAGTTCTAGTAATATTTGAAAGTAGAGTTCAACATTTGAAAGAAAAATAAAAATTTTATAAAATACCTATGTATATTATTATTCTTTTATTTCAGACATATATTTCAGACTATAGTTCCGACAATAATCGAGTGTATAGTTCAAAATATGAAAAATATAGAAAATTGGATCAATTGCAAATTATATAAAGATGTTTTCAAAGACCAATACAACGTTTTTCATCCAAATTATCTGGCATCATCATACATAAACTGCCAGCTGCTCACTGACAGTGTCAACATTTTTACTGCTGCAAAAACTATAGAAAAAAAACGAAAAGTCGTCAGTTTTGTAAGGGTTAATTAGATATTTCTTCTTTTTACTATTTAAAATCTATTTTAACTATAAAAACAAATTTGCATTTATAAGAAATAAAATCTACTTGTTAAATTATTTAATGTCTACTTGCTATTGAATATAATTCTCCAACTCTAATAGAAAGCAGTGCTGCCTTGAAAACACTGCCACTTTGTATATAATTTTATTTTTCTTCGGAAGTTGAAAAAGCAAAGCATTATAATGAAAATGGAGGAAAAAATAATAGAATTTGTAAGAGATAATCCAGCTTTATGGAATAAATGCGATATTGATTTTAAAAATACTAAACTTAAGGATAAGAAATGGAATAAAATTGCTACAAGTTTAGGTATATCAGGTAATTTCTTTCATACCTAGTATTTGCATGGATATAATATCAAACTTATTCCAGAGGATACTGCTAAAAAACGTTGGAAAACTATAAGAGACCGTTATTTTCGAATTTTAAAACTGGAGGAAAACGCTTTACTAAATCAGCAGGGACATGTTACCAAATACAAATATGCTGATATGTTGGGATTTCTTAAAGGCAATAGTACAAAAAATAAAAGAAGGTACATACATACATATTTTATAATTTTGTTGAAGAAATTTAAAAATTTTGTATTTTTTTAATTCTTTAAGTTCCTTAAATATTTGTACCGACGATCCCAATAACATTAATCTTAATAGTCATGAATTTTTAATGGAACCTGAGGAAAATTCTATTAAATATGAATATATTGATGGTATTGAAGAAACCCCTAACGAAAATCATGATAATTCCTCAACTTTAGAGTGTTGCTTTCAGCAACAAAATGAAAATATAGAATCGAAACCTGCAATTTCTAGCAATAATTCTCCGGCTCATCTTTTTATGATGAGTTTAGCTCTTCAAATCGATAGGGCAAATTTAAGTATTGATTCCTTTTTAAATCTTCAAATAAAAATGTTGAAATTAGTGAAAGAAGAAATAAAACAACAAAAATAAAATTTGAATGTTATTTTACTTTATATTTATTAATATTTACTGTTATATATAGACTATAGTCCAGCCTATAGTCAAGACAATAGTTTAGTCTATAAACCAGATTATCGTCTAGTCTAGCATCAATACATTAGTCTACACTATAGTCTTGTATATTTCCAAATCTGTAGTCCAAAATGTCTGCAGTCCCGAATATAATATTGTCTATAGGCCCGACTATAGACTTGTCTATAGTCCAGATTATAGTCTTGTCTATAGTCCGTACTATAAGTCTTGTCTATAGTCTGGACTATAAGTCTTGTCTATAGCCCAGACTATTGTCTTCTCTATAGTCCAGACTACAGCCTTGTTTATAGACCAGACTATAGTCTTGTCTATAGTCCAGAGTATAGTCTTGTCTATTGTCCAGACTATAGTCTTGTCTATAGTCCAGACTATAGTCTTGTCTATAGTCTAGACTATAGTCTTGTCTATTATCCAGACTATAGTCTTGTCTATAGTCCAGACTATAGTCTTGTCTATAGTCCAGACTATAGTCTTGTCTATAGTCCAGATTATAGTCTTGTCTATAGTCCAGATTATAGTCTTGTCTTTAGTCCAGACTGTAGTCTTGTCTATTGTCCGGACTACAAGTCTTGTCTTTAGTCCACACTATAGTCTTGTCTATAGTCCAGACTATAGTCTTGTCTATAGTCCAGACTATAGTCTTGTCTATAGTCCAGACTATAGTCTTGTCTATAGTCCAGACTATAGTCTTGTCTATAGTCCAGACTATAGTCTTGTCTATAGTCCAGACTATAGTCTTGTCTATAGTCCAGACTATAGTCTTGTCTATAGTCTTGTCTATAGTCCAGACTATAGTCTTGTCTATAGTCCAGACTATAGTCTTGTCTATAGTCCAGACTATAGTCTTGTCTATAGTCCAGACTATAGTCTTGTCTATAGTCCAGACTATAGTCTTGTCTATAGTCCAGACTATAGTCTTGTCTATAGTCCAGACTATAGTCTTGTCTATAGTCCAGACTATAGTCTTGTCTATAGTCCAGACTATAGTCTTGTCTATAGTCCAGATTATACTCTTGTCTATAGTCCAGTCTTGTCTTTAGTCCAGACTATAGTCTTGTCTATAGTCCAGACTATAGTCTTGTCTATAGTCCAGACTATAGTCTTATCTATAGTCCAGATTATAGTCTTGTCTATAGTCCGTACTATAAGTCTTGTCTATAGCCCAGACTTTAGTTTTGTCTATAATCCAGACTATTGTCTTCTCTATAGTCCAGACTATAGCCTTGTCTATAGTCCAGACTATAGCCTTGTCTATAGTCTTGTCTAAAGTCCAGACTATAGTCTTGTCTATAGTCCTGACTTTAGTCTTGTCTATAGTACAGACTATAGTCTTGTCTATAGTCCAGACTATAGTCTAGTCTATAGTCCAGACTATAGTCTTGTCTATAGTCCCGACTATAGTCTTGTCTGTAGTCCAGACTATAGTCTTGTCTATAGTCCAGACTATAGTATTGTCTATAGTCCAGACTATAGTCTTGTCTATAGTCCCGACTATAGTCTTGTCTATAGTCCCGACTATAGTCTTGTCTATAGTCCCGACTATAGTCTTGTCTATAGTCCCGACTATAGTCTTGTCTATAGTCCCGACTATAGGCTTGTCTATAGTCCAGATTATAGTCTTGTATATAGTCCAGATTATAGTCTTGTCTATAGTCCAGACTATAGTCTTGTCTATAGTCCAGACTATAGTCTGATCTATAGGCCAGACTATAGCTTTGTCTATAATCCAGTGTGTAGTCTATAATCCAGATTATCGTCTAGTCTGTAATACAGACTATAGGCTAGCCTAAACTACTATCTACTATATACACTACTCTAAAGTCTAGACTATAGTCTAGTCTATAGTCCGAATGTCCAGACAGTAGTCAAGTCTAAACTAAAATCAAAACTAATCCCAATTTTCCCTCTTAGTTTTTAAAATCATCGAAGTAAAATCCAAAACCATTATATTATTCTTTCGTTTCTGCTCATTTTATATAAATGTTAAAATCTTTATTATTTCAGTAATATGTAGAAGGTATTAATGAACCACATACAAAAATATTAATAATTGCGCTTATGTTGAAAATAAAATACATATAATAAAAATTAAAGTATTGCACTTAAATTAATAGATTTAAAAAAAGTAAAAAAAAAGCTGCTGAAAAATTACTTAAATATTAAACTTAATTAAATAATAATTTAAAAAATATAATAATATAAATATTCGCCTGAAATTGTCTTACGGAGTTGATAATAAATGAAAGCAATAATAAGTTATAAATAAAGCTAAAATAAACCAGCATTGAGTACGTAAAAGTGATGCAAAGAAACCCGACGACAATTGAGTTGTATCGATAAAGTATGTTCCCATTCTATCCTGGGGAGGATAAAAAATATCACCTCAATATCGTCGGGCGGTAGTCGGTCGAGGTACACCCGAGGTACGAGGACGAGCAGTAGCAATTGATGATTTAGCCCTGACGGGTTGGGTAACCGAATCAGAATTGTAACTGAGATAAACATGAGAGAGATCAATGAAATCGTTTGAGTCTTTAGACGAAGCCTTAGAATCAGTTATATGTTTGCGCATATTGTTGCCGGTGTATGCAACACATTTTAATTGCCATTCACCTATATCCTCATTCCAATGGGTGTATTGATTGATCATTGATTGATATTCCTTGGGTATGTAAGAGTTTAAGACCAATTCACATAGAGCCAATTCACGTGATAAAGAACGTATATTTTCGTAAATAGCCTCTTTTTCACGTTGATGTTCTTGCTGCTGATCGGCCAGTTCGGATTTGACACCCATTAACATTTGCATAACACGATGTATCTTTTTGGTTATGCCGGTATTGGCCTCCTGTAAGGAGGAATAACGTTCCTCTATATCTATGCGTTCGGTTTCCTTCTGCTGTAATGTCTCTCTTAAAGTTTGTTCAGCTTTTTCACGCTCTTCCAGCTCACGCAGAGACTGCTCAAGAAGTTTCTCCTGGCATTGGGCCTTTTCTAGAAGATTTTCTCCTCCCACAAGAATCTTACCCTCCAAAGACATAAGCTTATTGCGTAGTTGTTCTTGTTCAGTTTTGGTTTTTGATATCTCCAGCTGATGTTCGTGTTTACGTTTTTCCAAAGCCTCTTTTTTGGCCAATTTAAGCTCACGTTGTTTTTGTTTTTCCAAAGCCTTTTCGGTTAATTGATTTTGTGCCTCGGCCAATACTTCCATTTCAATTTCATCATCGTCCTCTTCTTCTTCGACTTCCTCTTCCTCCTCAATTTGAGGCTCTTCCTCGTAACCTTCCTCCAATTGCTTACGCAAACGTTCAATTTCCTCCTGGAAGTGCCGCAGTAGAGCATCTTTGGGTTCTTCATTAATATGCATACGATTTTGTATGTTTTTAGTGCGACTGGCGTAACGCAAAGTGGAAATGGTTTCCATATAATTGGTATCGGCCGGTGAGATGGTGGCACACATGACAGTCTTCGAATTGCCACCCAAGGAATCTTGCAAAAGACGTGTTAGTTTAGAATTTCTATAGGGTATGTGAGAACTTTTGCCATCGACCAAAGCACTAATGACATTACCCAATACTGATAGCGAAAGATTAATCTTCGTGGCTTCCTTTAAACGCTGGCCAGTGGCCTGAGTTTTACTTTGCCTTTCTGAACCGGCCAAATCTACCAATTGCAATTTACCCATACGCACATGTTGCTGGCCACCTTCAGCCAATTCGCTGCGTTCTACGGTTATAGAAAATATGGCATGTGACCTAGAAGATTCAGAGTTCATTTTGGTGGCTCCCACCACACGATTCTTATTGCCCAATTTCATTATATTCTCCAAATCATCTGCATTGTGCACTACATAACCACTTAGATCCTTCACAAACACTCCAATATCTGGTCGTTCTTTTACTTCCAAACTTTTGGTGACATCTTTACCCAACAGATCTCTAACCTCTTCATTATAGATTTCCATGTAGCTTACTCTGACCAAAAACTTTTGATTCTCCTTAGCCTTGGCAATGTGACCAAAAATATGTGCAAAGGCATTGGGTATTATACCCTTAGTTTGTGGTGACTCGGGGTTACCGGACATGGTATAGGTTTTACCCGTACCCGTTTGGCCATAAGCCAATATGGTACCATTGTAACCTTCTAAAACCTTCTCCACAATGGGACGGGCCGTATCCACATATAAATCCAATTGACTGCTCTCGCCATCGAAAACATTATCAAAATAATAGTTTTTGGGCGGCTCATTAGTGGTGGCATTGGGCTTTACCACCGTAATAGCTCTCTTCAGTTTGTCAATTTTAATGACCGACAAGGCCCCTGCCTGCAACTCATTTTTATCCATGGGTCTTGCTCTCACTACGACACGCACATTTTCCACTTCTGCTTCCTGTTCTTGAGTTGCTTGCTCGTTGGTCATTTTTTGTTTTAATTTAATTATTTTAAGTTTTTTTTTTTAATTAATAATTTTCTTTGTGTGGAATGCAAAAATTTGGTTGCTTAGATAATTTTCCAAAATAATTATTGATTTTTTTGTTGTTGGTAACAGCTGACGCATTCCATTTTCTCGTATTTCTTTTTAAGTTGTTCTTTATTGTCAATTCTTATTTTACTCGTTTTCTATACATGGTTATAATAACTACAACAAAACAAAATAAACGCCCTAGTTGTAATAAATGGTAGTAAATTATTGGTGTACGTGGTAAGATTTACAAGGTACTTTAGGAATGACGAATTTTTATAAATTTGAAATGATTCTTTTACATAATATTGCATTTTTTTTTTTCCAAAAAATCGCCTTTTCACTAAAAAGTTTTTATTTTTTACTATTTATAGTAAACTAGCTATACCCAGTGTGCTTTGCTACACTAAAAGGAATATGTATAAATAAATACCAGATTTATTATATGTTACATATGAAAGATGTCAAGCAAATTATTGCAAGTTCGCCAGTTTCTATCTATCTACAAAAAATTTGAATAATATAAGAGTTTCCAAGATGCACGAAATTTTGTATTTAATTCATATATGTGGTGCCAAGCCCCCATTGAAAGTCCGCCCGTTATTCTCTAAATGTTCACATGAATGTCAAAGTTCTTCATGTAAAATTTTGAAGATTCTAGCTCTAATAGTTCCTCAGATATACGAATTTTATTCATGTGGGGGCTTCAAGCCCCCCGGATGAAAGACCGCCCTTTTTCCTCCAAAATATTCAGATGAATATTAAAATAATTTGTTCAAAATTTGAAGAATCTAGTTCTATTAGTTTCCCAGTTAAAAGAAATTTTGTATTTAATTCATATGGGAGGTACCAAGTAACCCATTGGATGTCCGCCCGTTATACTCTAAATGTTCAGGTGAATGTCAAAGTTCTTCAAGTAAAATTTAATGATTCTAGCTCTAATAGTTTCTCAGATATACGAATTTTTCTATTTTATTCATATGGGGGCTCCAAGGCCCCCAGATGAAAGTCCGCTCTTTTTTCCTTAAAAATGTTCAGATGAATATTAAAGTTCTTCGTGCAAAATTTTAAGAATTTAGTTCTATTAGTTTCCCAGATAAACGAATTTTTGTTTTTAATTAATATGGGAGGTGCCGCTCCCCTCATGGGTAGTCCGCCAATTTTTTACCCAAAATGTTTATATGGATGTTAAAGTTCTTTGTGCAAAATTTTAAGAATTTAGTTCTATTAGTTTCCCAGATAAACGAATTTTTGTATTTAATTAATATGGGAGGTGCCGCTCCCCTCATGGGTAGTCCGCCAATTTATTACCCAAAATGTTTATATGGATGTTAAAGTTCTTCGTGCTAAATTTTAAGAATTTAGTTCTATTAGTTTCCCAGATAAACGAATTTTTGTATTTAATTTATATGGGAGGTACCACGCCCCCTAATGCTAGTCCGCCTACTTTTTGTCCTAAATGATCATATTGACACTAAAGTGGCTCCGACAAAATTGGAGGACTCTAACTGTTATATTATCTAAAATATACAAATTTTATATTTTCTTAATGTGGGCGTGGCTCATCGCCCACTTGAAATTTCGAAATAAAAAGTAGCCTATTACCTATTCCAGACATGCAGGAATATGCTGTGAAAATTTCAAGAAAATCGGTTCAGCCGTTTAGTAGTCTATAACGTTCAAACATACAAACATACAAACAAACACACATTCATTTTTATATGTATATATTGTCGCTTGATGGCTCATCAATTTATTATTTTTATTTTCATTTAATTTAAAATATTTTTGTTAATTTAAATATTTTTTTTGTGGGCTATCCTAATGTTGTTTAATTTTGTCTTATTTACCAAATTGTTAATGATACTTATTGTAAGATCATTGTTGTTGTTTAGTTCATTTGTCCGTTAGGATTTTTTTTATATTGTTTTGCATTCCTTTCTGTTCTCATTTGTTTACGAACTAAACGCATTCTTTGTCCCTATATTCTACTGCAGTAGTTTCGTTCAGTTTATTTATTTGGAAATAAACTGTTGTAAAAATACATAGACAAAAGAATTTGTAGGCTCAGTATTAACTGACATTAATATTAAAGTTTAGTTTGTTGGGGATAAAGACTGCGGTAAGTCGCTTAAATTATTTATAAGTTTCTTTTGTAATAATTGTATTTTTTAATAGAAATAAACGGTTGCTCAAATATATGCATCATTAATTTCACATTTGTGGTTCATTTATTTGGGACTTGTTAAATTCGCTGTCCTCAACATAAAGGCTCAGGTCGCAGCCAGCGACAAATTTTATTTCGCATTCCTTGGTGCGGTTGTGTTCCATGTCTGCCGGAACAACGAAATTTATTTGAAATCTTGAGCGAAGGTGTTCCAAGGTGCCTGAACAAGATAAGCCTTTTTTTTGATTTGTGGTTCTAAGCTGCCGGAACAAATAAAATATTTTGGATTTTTGATTTGTGGTTCCAAGCTGCCGGAACAAATTGAAATAATTGTGAAGTGGTTCTATATTTGCTGGAACAAAGTGTTTAAAATAATTGTGTGCATTTTTGTGCTTCCTTATATGACGGAACGAGTAAAACTTTTATTAAGCTGAATTTGTGTGAAGTTATTTGCTGTCCTGCCGGAACAAATTTATTTTTTGTGAAATATTTGGAGTGTGTTGCTGTTTATTATTTGTGATTTGTGTGCCCTTTGAAAACGTTTGAGATTCGTAATGCAACGGTCGCCAGCTAGAAAAAGCACTCGTTTGCAGACGGCAACGAGCCAAAATGTGAAAAGTTCCACGCCTGCCGGAACTGAAAGTTTAGCAAATGTGTCTCAAATGCCGTCGGTACAAAATGTCAATTCTGTCGCCCCCGGAACAACAACAGCAACTAGTGCCTCCATAAGTGCCCCTAGAGAACCGACACCTGCCATATCAACGCATAACATTTTTAGTTCATCAATTGAAGAGCCCTTAAGTCTGCCGCCGTTGGTGCCCGGTCCTAATGCGAGAACCCAGCCACCACAAGCTATATCGTCTGATAATGAGAACCTGCAACGACAAATTGATATCCTGCAAGCCCAGTTGGCAAACGCTCAACGTGCTTTAAGAGCAAATCAAAATTTAAATATGCCAAGTGTTATTGGACAAAATGCGCCAGTAATTCAAAGTATGAGCAGTGGCCCTGAAGACATGGTTGATCGTCGGAATCCAACGCCATATTCCTATGGTAGTCAGTCAGACCAGTTGATGACATCTCAGCCTCTTTTTGTTTCCCCTGCTACAGTGTCCATGCCAGTACAACGCAAACTTTATGATCTGCCTGAATTTTGTGGTACTGCCGAGGACTGGCCAATGTTTTTGTCTGCCCTTGAACATTCGACAGCCGCATATTCGTACAATAATTTTGAAAATTGTTTGAGATTGCAGAAGGCTTTGAAAGGTGAAGCCAGAGAGTGTGTGAAGTCGTTGCTCATCCACCCAAATAATGTGCCAACAGTTATAGAGCAATTAAAGCTACAATATGGTCGCCCAGAGTTGCTTATTCGATGCCAGTTGCAACAGATGAAGGAAGTTCAGCCCATAGCAGAAAACGCGATCGATAAATTGGTGCCATATTCCATTAAGGTCAGAAATTTAGCAGCATTTTTGGAATCTGCCAATGGTCATCAACATTTGTCGAATCCAACTCTGATGGAGGAGTTAGTCCAGAAGCTTCCAATGAGTAAACGTTTGGATTGGGCCCAGTTTGCTTCAACTTTACCTCAGTTGCCGACTATTTCGGATTTTAGTACCTGGCTCCAGCGTGTTGCAAATTTGGTAAGAAGTGTGCAAATAAGTAGTTCAAGTGGCGGTAGATCTAGCAGTGATCCAAAAAGAAAAGTGGTTTTATATGCTTCTGATGGCCCAGAACGGCAGTTAAAATGTTTTTATTGTGTTGGTCCACATAAAATTTTTAATTGTAAGAAATTTATAGAATTGAGTGTGCCTAATAGATGGAGTGAAGTGAAGAGATTGAAGTTGTGTTTTTCGTGTCTCAGTGGTGGCCATTCATGTAAAGACTGTCGTCGGCGCAAGCAGTGTCCCATGGAAAAGTGCCAAAGAAATCACAATAAATTATTGCATGAAACTAAACCTAATGAACCAAGCGAACGATCCGTAAATGTGCAGCCAACAGAGAGATCTTCAACAGTCGAGCCAGTGCTTAGTTGTGTTTCCAGAGCTAGTGAAAAAAGTGATTTGTTGTTCAGAGTGCTCCCAGTGGTTCTTTATGGACCAAATTGTTCTATTGAAACTTATGCACTCCTAGATGAAGGTTCTTCGGTGACAATGATGGATAGCTCTTTAGTGAGGCAGCTTGGACTGCAAGGTCGACAAAGTCAATTGAATTTGAGTTGGTATGGTGGTAAATCAGCACAAGAAGCTGTCATGGTGGTGGATCTTCATGTGAGCGGTGTTAATAAGAAGAGGAAATACGCATTGAAAAATGTGTATGGTGTCTCGAATTTGAAGTTGCCTAGTCAGAGCTTTAATGCGGATTTAGTAAAGAATTGTGGTGTTCCTTTATGCTCCTATGAATGTGTGGCTCCAAAGGTACTGATTGGTTTAGATCATTGCCATTTAGGATTGCCCGATGAAATAGTCCCTTTGGAAGATGCTGGTCCATATGCTGCCAATACGCCTCTTGGATGGGTTGTTTTTGGAAACGTGAAAATAGGTCGCCCTGGAACACAAACTTGTTTGCTGACAACACAGTTGGATAATTTGAATAATTTGGTGGCAAGTTATTTTGAAACAGAAAATTTTGGTGTTAAGGCTCTACCGGTGATTGAGTCAAGAGATGATTTGCGTGCACGAGAGATATTGAGAAATTCGACGAAGAGGGTTGCCGGAAGATTTGAATCCAGACTACTATGGTGTAATGATGACGTAGTCCTGCCGGATAGCTATTCCATGGCACTTAATCGATTTTTTGGATTGGAAAGGAAAATGAAAAATAATGCGGATTTTGGTGTGGCCTATAAGAAAATAATAAGTGAATATTTGAAAAAAAATTATGTACGCAAATTATCATTGAGTGAAGTTGATACATTTCATCCGAGAACGTGGTACTTGCCCCACTTTGGTGTCGTTAACCCTAATAAGCCAGGGAAAATTCGTTTGGTGTTTGATGCGGCAGCAAAGGTGGAAGGTGTCTCATTGAATTCAAAGTTATTGAAAGGCCCTCAGCAGTACAAACCGTTGCCATCCGTTTTGTTTAATTTCAGAGTCGGTTCCGTAGCTGTATGCGGAGATATAAAGGAAATGTTTCATCAAGTTGTTGTTGCTGAAGAAGACAGGTGTTCGCAGAGGTTCTTGTGGCGAGATAATGAAAGTGGTCCACCGGAAGTGTATGAGATGCTTGTGATGACGTTTGGAGCTGCCTGTTCACCCTGTATTGTCCATTATGTGAAGGAAGCAAATGCAATGGAGTATCGGGATCGTTTCCCTAGAGCCGTGAAGTCAATTCTGGATCATCATTATGTAGATGACTTTGTAGACAGTTTTGTTAATCCGTCAAAAGCCATTGAAATTGCCGTACAAGTTCGTGAAATACATAAAGCTGCTGGGTTTGAAATGCGTAATTTTACATCGAATTCATCAGAGGTGGTTGTGGCTCTCGAAGGCAGTTTAAATCATCAGGTCAGTTTCTTAGGTGGCTTAAAGGAGTTGGACGGTTCAACTGAAAAGGTTCTTGGCATGCTTTGGGATCCAAAGGATGACGCGTTCAAATTTGTTTTGAAATTCCATCGTGTGAATTCGGACGTGATCAATGGTAAAAGTTGTCCCACAAAGCGTGAGTTGTTATGTGTCGTAATGTCCATTTTTGATCCAATTGGTTTTTTGTGCCATTTTATGATAACTGCCAAACTTTTGATGAGAGAAGTCTGGAGACATAGAGTACTTTGGGACGAGATGTTGCCCGTGTCATTACAAGCGATGTGGAATAATTGGCGCCAAGAGCTAAGAAATGTTGTCCATGTAAAGGTTCCACGATGGTATTTTGGAAATGGTTTGCCCTTGGAGTTAGAGCTGCATGTTTTTGTTGATGCCAGTGAAGATGCCTTCGGTGCAGTGGCCTATTGGAGATATACAACATCTGATGGACAAATAGGAGTGTCGTTTATATCTGCCAAGTCGAAATGTGCCCCATTGAAATGTATGACCATTCCCAGATTAGAACTACAAGCCGCCGTTTTGGGGACCCGATTGATGGACACTATAATTAAGGAACACGATCTCAATGTTTCTCGTCGAATCTGTTGGAGTGACTCTACAACTGTCATTAGCTGGATTGGTTCTGAAAGTAGGAGATATAAACCATTTGTTGCCCATCGAATTGCCGAAATACTTGATTCGACACGCCCAACTGATTGGAGATGGTTGCCTACGGATCTAAATGTTGCCGATGACATTACAAGAGCTAAAAATGAAGTTGATTTTGCCATTGAAACACGTTGGTTCCAAGGGCCACAATTTTTGTATGAAAACGAAGCTGATTGGCCGAATAAGAATTCTGAGAAATCTGATGATTTGTGTGAAGAAGAACTACGCCCCAAATTTGTCATGCTGGTTAGTACAAATTTAGTTATTGATTTTAATCGTTTTTCTTCATTTCTCAGGCTTAAACGTACTATGGCTTGGGTTCTGAGATTTATTAATCGTTGCCGAAAAGATGATAAATATAATGGTTCGAGATGCCTATCTGCTGAAGAGTTAAGGGTTGCTGAAACTAGTCTGTGTCGTCTGTCGCAAGAAGAGTGTTTCGCCCTTGAAATAAACATTTTAAAATCTGGTGGTTCTTTAAAAAAGGAAACCGAGTTATTTTCGCTTTCGCCTTATTTTGATGAAAATAATTTACTTCGAGTGAGCGGACGTATTGATGCTGCGAGTTGGTTGCCTTTAGATGCTAGGCACCCCATTATTTTGTCGCCCTGTCACCGCTTTGCACAACTATTTGTTGCCCATGTGCATAATAACATGAGACATCAAAATCTTGAGGCTACCATAGGCGAAATAAGGAAAAGGTTCTGGATTCCACGACTACGAAAGCTGTTGAGTAAGACCACATCAAATTGCAACATTTGTAAGATTCGACGTGCCGTTCCAGTGGCTCCTTTTATGGGATCATTGCCAAGTGATAGACTAACTCCATACGTCCGTCCATTTACTTATACTGGTGTGGACTATTTTGGCCCAATAAACGTGACTGTTGGTAGACGTCATGAAAAACGTTGGGTTGCCCTGTTTACGTGCCTCACAATCAGAGCAGTACATTTAGAAGTGGCTTATGATCTTTCGACTGATGCGTGTATTTTGTGTATACGGAATTTTATAAATCGTCGTGGTACCCCGTTGAAGATTCGTAGCGACAACGGAAAGAATTTTGTTGGAGTTAACCAAGAAGCCCAGCGATTTGATGAAGTTTTTGATCTTGTTAAAATTGAAGATGAGTTGTCCACAAAGGGCATTGAATGGCAGTTTAATTGTCCACATAATCCTGCAGAAGGTGGTGTATGGGAGCGAATGGTTCAATGTGTTAAAAAGGTTTTAAGAGTAACTCTTAAAGAAATCGCCCCAAAAGAGCACACATTGCAAAGTTTTTTAATTGAAGCCGAAAACATCGTAAACTCTCGCCCATTGACTCACTTGCCTGTCAGCCCTGAAGACGAAGAACCATTGACGCCAAATCATTTCTTGTTGGGATCTACAAATACAGCTCAAACACCAGAAGGTATTGAAATAACAAAGCCAGTGGTACTGAAAAAGCAGTGGCGAATTGCTAGACAGCTACGAGATCATTTCTGGAAAAGATGGATTATTGAATATTTGCCCACACTTACAAGACGGTCCAAATGGTGTGAATATACCAAGCCTGTGGCTCCGGGTGATCTTGTACTAATTTGTGATCCAGCTGTTTCCCGTCGAGATTGGAAGAGAGGTCGTGTTATAAATGTGTTCCCTGGCAGTGATGGTGTAATACGGAGAGCTGATGTCCAAACAAGTAGTGGAATACTTAAACGCCCGGTTTCCAAACTAGCAGTCCTTGATTTGGATGGTGAATCGTTGCCGATCCACGGTGGTGGGAATGTCGCTTGATGGCTCATCAATTTATTATTTTTATTTTCATTTAATTTAAAATATTTTTGTTAATTTAAATATTTTTTTTGTGGGCTATCCTAATGTTGTTTAATTTTGTCTTATTTACCAAATTGTTAATGATACTTATTGTAAGATCATTGTTGTTGTTTAGTTCATTTGTCCGTTAGGATTTTTTTTATATTGTTTTGCATTCCTTTCTGTTCTCATTTGTTTACGAACTAAACGCATTCTTTGTCCCTATATTCTACTGCAGTAGTTTCGTTCAGTTTATTTATTTGGAAATAAACTGTTGTAAAAATACATAGACAAAAGAATTTGTAGGCTCAGTATTAACTGACATTAATATTAAAGTTTAGTTTGTTGGGGATAAAGACTGCGGTAAGTCGCTTAAATTATTTATAAGTTTCTTTTGTAATAATTGTATTTTTTAATAGAAATAAACGGTTGCTCAAATATATGCATCATTAATTTCACATTTGTGGTTCATTTATTTGGGACTTGTTAAATTCGCTGTCCTCAACATAAAGGCTCAGGTCGCAGCCAGCGACAATATAGATAGATGGTAATATTAAAATTAAAAAAAAAATGAACTAAAAATTTGGCTTTCACTAAAATTCATTAAAAATTATGGGCGTTAAAATCATTTCAATTATGGACCGTTTCTTCAAAAAATGTTTATAAAAATTAGGTCCGATCCTAATAAAATGTTATTTCCTATTTCGGCAATTATGGGCGTTAAAATCATTTCAATTATGGACCGATTCTTATAAAATTTGATGAAGAGATTTTTCAAAAGTAATTTTCTGAAGGGGACCTTATATCAGGGTTCTATAGTTGAAACGAAAAGTCGACTTTTCGACTTTTTTCATTTAGTTAAAGTCGACTTTTCGACTTTTTGCATTTTATGAAAAGTCAATTTTTCGACTTTTAGACTTTTCGACTATAAGTATTTTATAAATAGTCGACTTTTCTACTTTTTCCGACTTTTTGACTATTTTTGACTTCTTTCGACTTTTTTTTGACTATTTTTTTACTTTTTTCCACTTTTTTAAGATTTTCGACTATTTTTGGCTTGTTTCTACAATTTTCGAGTTTTCGACCTTTTCCGACTTTTTGACTTTTTACGACTTTTCGACTTTTTTCGACTTTATTCGACTTTATTCGCCTTTTTTGACTTATCGACTTTCAGACTTTTCGACTTTTTTCGACTTTTATTAACAAAGTCGACTTTTCGACTTTTTTCACAGACCATAGTCCAGTTATCGACTTTTTTGGAACAAAATAGTCGACTTCGACTTTTCGACAAAAAGTCGATTGTTCGATTATTCGAAAGTCGATTTATAGAACCCTACCTTATATGGGAGTTATACCCCATTTACACATACACGAAATCTAGTAGATTTCATTTAAAATCTTTTTCCAAATCTAGTCCGTTTACACTTACTATTCTTGACATGTAAGAAGATTTCATTTTTTCTAATACTTCTTGAAAAAGTGTGTGATATGAAAAATAAGAAGGAAAAATTGGATATTTATCAAAATTCCATTTAAAATAAAAAAATAGATATTTAAATATAACATTACCTTTTATTTTAGATTAACTTTTCATTCATATTTTTCAATTTATAAAAATTTTGTCGACATTTTAATTTTTTTTGTTTGTTTTCCTCTTTTTTATTGTGTAGTGTCGTATTTTTTAGTATTATTTAGGAAAAAACAGAGTTGCATCACTAAAAACTATTAGATTTTGAGTAGATTTTAAGGTATTTTCAGACTACAATACTGAGTATTAACACACTTCAAATTAAAAATATATGAAAATAATTCGCATTTTTAAAACATCAATCCGAAAAATACATTTTATGTTTACACTATAATATTTGTAATATTTTTCATCCAATTTTCAATTATTTATGCACTTTTCGTTCTTATTTTTAATGTATTTTCCACTTTTTGTTTGTTTTTTATTGTATTTATAAAATACATACCGAATACGTTTGAAAATAAAAAGTTTTTGAATTGTTTTAAAAAATTTATGAATACCGACCGTATGCCAAAAAAATTAGTAATATTTTTGAAAATCAAATTACAAATTATATTTAGACTAGTAAATTGTATTATGATACAAACATTTTTGACAAGTATTAATACTCAGTATTGTAGTCTAAAAATACCTTTAACGAAATCTAGTTACGAAGTAGATTTTGTCTTGTATGGGAAATCTAGTTAAAATCAAGTAGATTTGGCTCGAAATCTCATAAGTACTAGATTTCGTGTATGTGTAAATGGGGTATTAGGATTAATTATGTGCCGATCCTCATGTAAGTTGGCAGAGGTGAAGAGTTCTTTACATGGGTGGTAGTGTCAATTATGAACCGATCCTTTTAACATGCGACAGAGAAGTTGTTTTTTCGAATTTCGTTGAAGTCACTTTCTTATGAGGGGGATATATATATATGAACCTATTTGCAATACTAAACGAACTTCTATATTATCAAAAAATATGCTTTGTAAAATTTCAGCTTCTTCCATTCGGGCTTTATCGTTATTTCAACAGACAGACCCCAGACAGAAGGAATATCTTTCTAAAAATGTCGAAATTCGACTATATTGTAAAAAAACAGTCGGATAATCGATTTTTTAGATAAAAATAAAAAAAATATAAAGCAAGATTGTAAAAAGTCGACTTAATTCATAAATTACAAATGGTCGACTTTTCGTTTCAACTATAGAACCCTGCTACTGAGTAGGGTTCTATAGTTGAAACGAAAAGTCGACTTTTAGACTTTCAGACTTTTATTTACAAAGTCGACTTTTCGACTTTTTGCATTTTATGAAAAGTCGATTTTTCGACTTCTCGACTTTTTTCATTTAATTAAAAGTAGACTTTTAGACTTTTCGACTTTAAGTATTTTATAAATAGTCGACTTTTCTACTTATCGACTTTTTTCGACTTTTTCCGACTTTTTTCGCCTTTTTCCGACTTTTCGATTTTTTTCGACTTTTTTTTGACTATTTTTTGATTTTTTTTCGAGTTTTTCTGACTAGTTTAGAGTTTTTGACTTTTTTTCCACTTTTTTAAAATTTTCGACTATTTTTGACATTTTTCTACTATTTTCGAGTTTTTGACTTTTCCGACTTCTCGACTTTTTGACTTTTTTCGACTTTTCGACTTTTTTCGACTTATCGACTTTTTTCGACTTTTAGACTTTCAGACTTTTATTTACAAAGTCGACTTTTTCGACTTTTTTCACAGACGATAGTCGAGTTATCGACTTTTTTGGAACAAAATAGACGACTTCGACTTTTCGATTTTTTTCGACAAAAAGTCGATTGTTCGATTATTCGAAAGTCGATTTATAGAACCCAGCTACTGAGTACTCAAATAATTTCACAAATAATCGCTGATGTCACAACTTACACTAATTGTGTAATTCCCCGTTTTATAGAACAATGCGTCAAGTGTACAGCATGCCGCTGGCAAAAATATAGGGGTGAAAGAGAAGGATGTACTCGGAGGGAGCTCTAAGCTACCTCAGCCTTTAAATATAGGTGAGGGTTCCGACTCTGAATCCTCAGATGATAATAAAAATAATACCATTATAGCAAATCCCAAAAAGGATGAAGTAGAGCAAATGGTGAAAGAGGTGAGTGATAGCATAGCTAAACTACCTATTACTAAGAAAAGACTTTCTGGAGCACAGAGGAGGAAGTTGAAAAAGATGCTTCAGGAAATCATAGTTAGTCAATCCCACGACACTCCAAAGGAAAAATCGGACTCTCTCACAAGATCTGAGGCAAAAAGGATCAGGTCTCCCGAGGAGTTGACAACTGAGAATAAACCTAAGAAGAAAAAGAGCTCCCCGTCTTCTAATACACAGTCGAAGCCAAGCCATACTTCACTCAAAGGAATCTCAAGTGAGAATCCTGCGAGTAAGGGTGACAACGCCAAGCCAGATATTCCGAAGACGAACACGTCGGCGAAATCAACCTCGAAGGTAAGGGAATCTCAAAAGAAGCCCCGAAAAACGAGGAAGGAGAAGCTAGACGGAGGTAAAGGAAAAGAGCCGCCATCTTACGCCAAAGTTGCCAGAAGTAGGCACCGGGACGATCTCTGCTATGCAGTTTACGATGCCGGTAATCCGACAGGCAAAATTCCAATAGACCAACAGAGTAAAATAGAAGACCTGGTCAACAATAAGATAGTGGACCATGCAATCGCTTCAAAGGGCAAACAACCAATAGAGAGCGAGAGCTGCGAGTTCAGCATGGGCGTGATGTTGATGAGGTTGGCATCTCACCAATGTGTTAGCACCCTAAAGAACTTGGTGGAAAGTATCCCTCCTCCCTGGGACGGCGCTAGGCTGGGACTGGCAAAGAAGAGCGAGCTTCCGGTGCTCCTAAAGTCCACTGTCTACATAAAAGGATGGGGCAGTAAACTGGCTAATGAACGTATACTGGAAATTCTTGGAGGTCAAAATGCTGAGCTGGCCGTGGAAAAATGGGATGTCTTTTACAGGAAAGAAGAACCTGAGGGAACTTTATTTGTAATAGGTATCGACCAGAAATCCATGGCTAGTCTTGCCAAGAATAAAGGTAGGGCTTACTTCGCCTCTAAATCTGTCATATTCAAAATTGGGAAGGTGCCGATTGGAAGGGCTGTTACAACAAGCCTCGAAAAGGACACTAAAAAACCTAAGACCACAGCATCAGTATCCACTACTGATAACGTTGAGGAGTCAAATCCTAAAATCGAGGAATTTACCATTAACTCGCCAGAAGAAAGTGTAGTTGCCCTTTCCAAAATTGGGAAGGCGCCGATTGAAAGGGCTGTCAAAACCGGCCCCGACAAGGACACTAAAACACCTAAGACAGTACCCAAAGCATCATTAGCAAGTACTAGCAACGTTGAGGAGTCAAATCCTAAAAGCGAGGAGGAAATCACTCACCCGCCAGAAGACAGAACAGCAATGCTCTCCAGAATTGGGAATGTGTCTATTAAAAATATTGCTATTCCTATGCCTGATAAGGATACCGCAGTGCCATCAACAGTACTCACTGCATTAATAGCCACTTCAGGCTATCCGGAGGAGTCAAATCCAAAGAGCGAGGAGGTGACCACCAACTCGCTGGAAGACAGTTTAATGGATGACCATGATTGAGGTTATCCAAATAAACCTCCATCGGAGCGAGACAGCTACCAACGCTCTGATGGCTAAAATCAACACAGGTAAAATACATATAGCTTTAATCCAGGAACCTTGGACGATTCGCAACAAGGTTTCTGGATTAAATCACGTAAATTTCCAACTTTTCTACGCTGATACAGGATCTCGCCCGAGAACATGTATCTTATGTCACAAGAACTTATGTTTTCTCCTCTCAACAGGATTATCAACATCGGATGCAACGGTGCTGAAGCAAGGTCGTGGCAACATATTCCTTGCATCTATTTACCTGCCTTTCGATTCTCCGACACTACCACCAACGTCGGATCTGATGAAACTGGTTGAAGAGGCACAAAGGAAAAATAAGAAAATTG